GCAACGTAACGCGTAAAAAGACAGTATAAGTCATTATAATCTGTAATTATGTCCCCACTGGATGCAACAAATGCCTCGTTTGTAATGGGTTTTAATGTTTTTGTCTCTTCGCTCCGGCCGGGACGGCATCATCACAGTATGGTGAGGGGCGTAACATTTCCGTCTCACGCTTGAGGTATTCGGCCAATCATAACGCACTGGATAGCTGGCCAATCAGAGCACACCTCGCTTTTTCAGACCGATGAGCTTTGTAAAAATCGACACGTTTCAAAAAGGCGGGGCATAGAGGAGAAACAATAATGTACAGTATGTGGAAAATAATGTGTTTTTTTTACTTTAAACCGCATAAACACATTTCATTACACCAAATACACAAAATAATGTTATTTTTAGCAGCATCATATGACCCCTTTAATATTTTATTTCATTTCAGTTGAATGTTTACTTCAATTAAAAATTTGTAAAAAATAAAATAATAATAAAATAATATTTAAAAAATTAAGGTTTAAACCACGGTTATTATAGTTAACTAAAATGTGTTCTTAGTCTTTCTTTGCCCAATCCACCAATCAACATTATTCCAAAGGGGGGAAAAATTGTTTTCATGATCTTTTATATCCTTTTCCCACTTTTTCTACTGTTTGAAGGACTGGTATGACGACTGATATTACAGACCTTGCAAAAGAGGTGTATGATGTGTTGAGTGCTCAAACACAGAGACAGGCTTGTCAGACTCCAGAGCAACAGAAGAGGAGGAACAAACCCCAGTTCTTCATCAACAGCTCTAACAAGAAAGCAAAATCAGTTACCCTGCATATACAAGGCTTAGATGGGGCAGTATGTACCATAACAATGCTTTCACACATGCACTTTGTTGGTCTTACCTGGCCTTGGTCATAAAACATTTCTCTCATATTTATGCAGATTACGGAGTAAAAACATGTGGCATTGTGTTGACAGGATCAGAGAGGTGTGTGTGAGGAGGCCCTTTTGAGGGTCAAAGGTGTAATCAGCTTCACGTTCCAGATGGCTCTGAAGAGATGTACTGTACGCATCCGTGCCGACCTGCCCACTGAGGTACACAGTATTCCTCTTTCTGTAAGGAGAGAGGCAACTAATAAAAGCAGAATTGTTTTCATGAAATGCTAAAAGCAAATATCTTTTATCCAGAGCCTGGCCACTGCCATTGCTGCCACAAAAGTGCTTTCAGCTAAGCAGGTAGTGAAAAATGAAAATGGAGAAGAGGTGGGTGTTTTTGTTGCTTTTAAGCATGTATTTAAATATGTTTCAGTGAGAATGATGATCCAGGGCTTAATATCTTGCTGCTGATCTGGTTGGGTCTGATTTTCACATGCCTTGCCTCTTTAAATAAATAAATATATATACATAATTGTTTTTTTTTTTATATACATATTTATACATTTATTTTTTAATTTATTTCATTCCATATATATATATATATATATGTGTGTGTGTGTGTGTGTGTGTGTATATATATATATACAGTATGTGTGTGTTTCAATAGTTTTATGACCCATAAACTTGCTGTTATTTATTTACATGGCTATGGTTACAGGTTCTCATTCCACTCAGCACCTCTGGCTCAAAGGTAGAAGAGAATTCCCACCTGCCAGATTACCTACCAGAGGACGAGAGTCCGGAGAAAGAGCTGGACCGCGCCGTGTCCCGTACTGGTGCTAAACAAGACACCGGTGGCAGCTGGCTGAACACAGCAGCCAGTTTCCTCACTAAAACTTTCTACTGGTAAAGCTTGAGTTTCACAGACTTTTTTTAAAGAAAGATCAGCATAGAAGAGCAAGTTGCACCACTATCAGAGCTTAAAGCACTAATGGAAGGTTGAGGAGCTGACAAATGCGCTTTATCAGTTTATGAGCACAACCTTTCACACAAAAATGTGTGTGAGATCTCAGCCACATCGCAACTCTGTACTGTTATATAGACGTTGAGTTCATATTGTACATTTATGTATATGAAAACATGTCTTTCCACCCTCTCAGGATCAGAAATGTTCTGTTTCTGCTGTCATGTGTGTGTGTTGTATTGTCTTTCCACCTGATTTCTTGTAAATATTTCCATTTTGGTGTGTTATTAGGGGAAGAATCTATGCTGAGTCTCATCTAATAATGGAAACAACTGAAAGGCAGATTAAATGTCTAATGCTGTTTTGTGTAAAGTAAAGGTTTGGAAGGAAGAAGTCTGTACTGATCTTTGTAATGTTATTTAAATTTAAGTGTTCAAAATATGGGCTTTCATGTTGAAAAAGGTGAGTGAATACAGATGACCATACCAAATAACTTAGTCTTTTAATTTAGTTGTAATATGGTTATTGATACAAACAAAAAGTTGGAGGATAAATTATTTTAAACAAATTTTCTAAATAAATGAATGACAAATACATATAAAAATCTGTGTCAGTATAAATGTTTTACCATACATAAAAAAATAAACGATAGCATTAATTTAAACTACATAAATGAAAAACATAACCAATTAAATGTATGCAAACAACCTTCCTTATTGCTTCAGAGCTACTTATAATGGCACAAGTTTAGCATAACAGTACAGTGCAATAGTGTGTTAACGACCTCTACAGTTAAGAGGTTCTGAGCCTTTTCTTACAATAACAATAAATGTGCACACCTTAGCCCATCTTTTGAAAACAACAGCAGTGCATCAGTCAACTTGTAACATACTTGTAAATGTACATAGTACATATTAGCATCAAACGGAATACATGGGTTTGTATTGTATAACCAACACAATTGCATTGCAACTGAATTCTCTGTTCAGTATTTCATACTAGAATATAAAAGTGTAATATAAGAACAATATAAATAAAGGATTTAAAAATAAAACATCTGAAAGCATCATATAAATTACCAAGAAGAAGAAGTGCAGTCATCAGTGGTGAGGTATGGCAGCATTCTGCAATACTTTCATCAAATGATTGTTGAAGTGTGCGGTGGTACGAACAGGCCTGATGTTAATACAAGCTGGAAAGACAAAAGAAAAGGTTTATTACATGCATTATTATATAAAGCTCAACAAATGTAAATGTACAATGAGTGTTTTGTAAGACACACTAGCTATTATGTTGTTTCAGATGTTCAGGTTCATAACTACTGCAAATATCACACCAGGAACTACTTACATAAGTTTCTCTAGTTTACAGTCTGGATCATCTAGTAGGACATACAGTGGTCTCACAGCTGAATCTGTAAGATTGTTTTCACTCAGGTCCAGCTCTCTTAAAAGTGAGTGCTTAGATCTCAGTGCAGAGGCTAAAATTGTGCAACCCTCCCCTGTGACCCCACAGTTAGACAGCCTATACAGAAAAACGTTAGTTGCATATAAACAATAATATAGGCATAGATCATTAATAAAATACAATTTTAATGTAGATCAGACATTTTTTTTACAGGATAATCACAATTAATTTCTCTGAAAGCAATTTTGAAAGTTTTAGATATAGCATTACCCTAAAGTGTCCAGCTGACAATGTGGATTTTCCAATCCAGCGCAGAGGATTTTAATTCCCAGATCTAGTAGATTATTTATTCCCAAATTCAGTTCTCTAAGACTTGAGGATTTTTCTTCAAGAGCAGCAGCCAGTGAATCACAGCAGTCCACAGTTAAACCACACTGACTCAAACTAGGGAAAATAATGATATTAGAGGTATTTTATTTAATATTTTTTACATGTTTATAAGAAGTCTGTTATGCTCACCAAGGCTGCATTTATTTGATAAAAAATACAGTAGTAGTAATAGTAACAGTAAAATTGTGAAATATTATTACAATTTCAAATTACTGTTTCCTATTTGAATATATTTTCAAATGTAATGTATTCCTGTTAAGCAAAGCTGAATTTTTTAAAATGTAATTTATTCCTGTGAAGGCAAAACTGAATTTTTAGCATCATTACTGCAGTCTTCAGTGTCAGATGATCCTTCAGAAATCATTCCAATATACTGATTTAGTGCTCAAGAAAGATTTATTATTATTATCAATGCTGAAAACTTAATTTTGAAAACGTAATGTTGAAAACTTAACTTTGCTGCTTAATATTTTTGTGGATTTGTTTTCCAGGATTATTTGATGAATAGAAAGTTCAAAAGAACAGCATTTATTTGAAATAAAATACTGAAAAAAATAAATACTGTCACTTACTATCAATTGAATGCATCCCTGCGTCTGTGAGCTCATTACTGCTCAGGTCCAGCTCTCTCAGATACCACGGGTTTGAGTTTAGAGCGGCAGCGAGGACAGCACAACCTTCCTTTGTGACCCCACCGTCTCCTAAACTGTTATGAAAAATATTAATGTTCATAAAATTCATAAAATCTTGTTAAAACATTTAAAACTAGATACATAATTTGCTGAATAGAATATCAGTCACTATTCAGCATCCAAATAAATGCAAGAAAAACCAACTGACATCAATATCACATCATCACTGTTGGTTGTAATTTAAACTTTAATTGTATAAAAAGTATAACTTTTGCAAACATTGAAAATTGTTAGCATAACCTTTGACTGAAATTACCTGCATAGCTAGCTTGCAAGCACTACAATTAAAGTCTCAAAGCTTTGGTTCTACTCCTCACCATAACGTCTCCAGCCTACAGTTGGAATTCTTCACCACTTCAGCGAGTCTTGATACACCAAAATCCTTTATGTGGTTCTGTCTCAAGTCCAGCTCTCTCAGAGGAGCCGGGTTAGAAACAAGAGCTGAGGCCAAAAAATCAACACCCACGTCTGTGATCTCACACGATGCCAACCTGAAAAGACACAATATGCTTAAAGAGTTTGCTGAGGGTAGGATCTAAACAGAGATTTAAAGCCCTTACCTCAAAATCTGTATTTTACAGTGAGGGCTTCCAAGTCCATTTGAGAGCATTTTCACTGCTTCATCATATATTGCGTTGCCACTCAGATCTAAAGCTTTCAGAGTAGAGAAGCTGGACCTCAAAGCTGAAGCCAAAGACTGACAGGATTTCTCAGTGAGCAAACCGTAACTTAGCCTACGGGTTGAAAAATGAGCATTTCGGCCATTTGGTAAAGCTTAATAATTATAATAGTGTATATTTATAATAGCGTACTCTAATGTTTCAAAAGTCTGGGGTCGGTAAGATTTTTTTTAATGTCTTTGAAATAAGTCTGAAATATGAAATCATTGTGTTGAGGAAATTAAAATTTTTTTAATAATTCATACTTTGAGTTTTTCTTATTTTGTATTTTCAAAAAGCAAACAAACAATAAAATAGAACATACATAATAGGCTAGAACATTTTAGATAAACATCTTCATTTTAGTACCATTTCATTTAGTACCATCTCGTTTTCCCCCAAATATTTAACAAATGCATTAAATGCCAGTAAAGACTGTCTTGTCTGTTCATTTATCTGAAATAGAAATCTTATAAAAGCATTATAAATGTGACTAAGAGCTTTACCTCAGTTCCTCTAAATTACACTGTGTGTTTTCCAGTCCGGCTGTCAGAAGCTCCTTTGTCTCCTATGGAGTTATTACACAGATCTAGAACTCGTACATTAGAAGAACCGGAACCGACAGTGGAAGCAAGCGCTCTACAGCACCTCATAGTAAGTCCACAATTATCCGGTCTGAAATATAATGCAGACATAATAAATAAGAACCAAACACACTTCATGCGACCTCAATCGCTTTTAAAATATAAAAACATCAAAACAAAAACTCACAATGCACATTCTGAAGCTTTGACCATCGGCAACAATCTGGTGAGGCCTTCATCTGATCTGATGTACTTCTTCAGGTCAAACACATCCAGCTTCTCTTCTGATGTCAGTAACACAAACACTAGGGCAGACCACTGTGCAGGGGAGAGTTTAGAAAAATGCCCTGAGTTCAGGAAGCGCTGGACCTCCTTCACCAGAGAGAGATCATTGAGTTCATTGAGACAGTAGAAGAGATTTATGGACTTTTCTGGCACGGACGTCTCCTCCATAATTTTCTTGATATTTAACGGTTTCCTCTTTGCTCTGACAGGCTCTGCTACCAGATTGAGAAAGCAAGCCTTGTCAAAGGCTCTGATTGGACTCCAATGAAAGTCCCAGAAGGAAGCGGAGGAAAAGGTCCAGGTGTCCATTCTGTAGGGACTTGTCAATGGCACACTTATGCAATTCAAACAAGGTGGTCTCTGTAAGCTCTTGATGCTCTTCATTATGAAGAACGTTGCTGTGGTGGATCTTAAACATGTAATATACATATATGGCTGCCAGAAACTCCTGAATGCTCAGATGGATGAAGCAGTACACTTTGTTCTCAGTTAATGCAGACTCCTCTCTGAAGATCTGTGAGCAAACTCCTGAATACACCACTGCCGCCTTCACGTCAATCCCACAAGCCATCAGGTCTTCCTCATAGAATATCAAATTGCCACTTTTTAGTTGTTGGAAGGTTAATTTCCCCAGCTTTAAAATCATATCTTCATCCTCCGGGCCTGAGATGTACTCTTTGGTGTATCTCATGTTTTTCGCATGGGTTTGGATGAGAAGGAAGTGCGTGTACATTTGAGTAAGAGTCTTGGGGATTTCTTCATCTTCTGCAGCGTTGAACATTCTCTCTAGCACCGTAACGGAGAGCCAACAGAAGACTGCTATATGACACATGATGTACAGACTTCTTGATGACTTTAAGTGTGTGATGATCCGACCAGAGAGGTGTTTATCATTGATTCTCTTGTTGAGGTATTCCTCCTTTTGTGGGTCATTAAACCCTCGAAATTCAGTCACAAGGTCGATATACTCATGAGGGATCTGATAGGCTGCTGCTGGCCGAGATGTTATCCAAACGAGGGCATCAGGAAGCAAATTGTTGCTGATGAGATTGGTTAGCAAAACGTCAATAGAGGCTGGCAGAGTTGGGTTATTCAACTTTGCATTATTCTGGAAATCAAAAGGAAAGCGGCATTCATCCAGACCGTCAAAGATAAAGAGAACTTTTTGCTTTTCGTGATTATCTTTCCAAAGCCTGTTTCCATTTTGAAGTGTTGGAGAAGCTCAATCAAGCTGAACTGTTTCCCTTTCATCAGGTTCAGCTCTCGGAATGGAAGCGGATACACAAACTTGATATCCCGATTAGCGTTGCCCTCAGCCCAGTCCAGTATGAATTTCTGCACTGAGACTGTTTTCCCAATGCCTGCAACTCCTAGTCAGTACACATTTGATGGGTCTGTTTTTTTTTTTCGGTTGAGTGTTTAAAAATGTCATTGCATTTGACTGCAATGTCCACTTTGTTTTTTCTCCGCAATGCCGTCTCAATCTGTCTCACCTCATGTTTTTTGTTGACATTCTCACTTTCCCCCTCAGTGATGTAAAGCTCTGTGAAGATGTCGTTCAGAAATGTGGGATATGATTGTTTGGACATGTCATTGTGAATGCACTGAAATTTTACTTTCAGTCTTGATTTATATTCTTGTTGGCACACCATGGCTGATTTGGAATTGACTCTCAAATCAGTAATATTGCTCTTGTGAGACCTATAAAAATACATTGACAATGAAAGAGTATGACTGGACTCTCATGCAGAATACACTACTGTCCAAACGTTGGGTGTCAGTTTGGTATTTGTTTTAGAGAAATTAATACTTTTAATGTGAAAGGATGCATTAAATTAATCAAAAATGACAGTAAACTCATTTATAATGTTACAAAAAATTAGAAAAGTGTTTCTTGAGCACCAAATCAGCAGCATATTACAGTGATTTCTGAAGGATCATGTGACACTGAAGACTAGATTGCTACTGGAAATTCAGATTTGCAATCACAGGAATAAATTACATTTTAAAATATATTAAAGCAGAAAACATTTTTTTTTTTTATTGTAATAATATTTACAATATTACAGGTATTTTTGATCCAATAAATGCAGCCTTGGTGAGCAGAAGATAATTCTTTCAAAAAATCTTACCAACCCCAAACTTATCAGCAGTACAGTATATTTGTTCACATGGAAATTAGGACACATAAAGTGACATATTTTGTTTGAAAATCTTACCGTTGCTCAGTGGCTTCAATACTGTCCTCAATAATGAAAGAAACTGGTATTTGTGCACTGCATGCAGCATGTGAACATGAAAAGTCCTTTTTTATTAAATTAGGCCTATTAAATTATGTTTAACTTTCAATATGACAAATACTAATCCAGAATAAATAAAATACATTCTGCTATTTTCGTATGAATTTTTTTAGCATTTTTGAAGGATGTTGTGAGATGTTCTGACTAAGCAGATGTTACATACCTTTGCACTGAATAGAGAGATTCTATTTTCAAATCAACTGGATCCAGCATAGAATTAGCACTTTTTAAAGAAACAAGGTTGTCATGATTTCGTGAGACCGCCCTTGAATGAGAGAAAAAAATGTTTAGAAATATATTTACTCACTCACTTATCTCATAAATGATGGAAAAGACATATTACCACACTATTCTCACAATGTCGTGCTTAAATCTGGTATAGATTCATTAAAATGCAGTTGACCCATCTACGATTTTTCTTCAGTTAAACTTAATGTCCAAGGTTTCAACAGCTAAAAAATTTGGATTTTTTTTTTTCTTTTCTAGGAAAATGGATGAAAAATGAAAATAAGAGAGTATGTCATTCAATAAAAGATAAAGGACAGGAAACCCTGAGAACTATAAACACACAAGAACAGGTGATTAAACAAGACGTCTGGACACAATGAGGGAGTGATTAGTGAACAAACACATGACATGGACTAAAAACATGACATTTTAAAATGTAAGATTGTGATTATAATTGTGATAATATTGTGATATGTAAGATAAGTGTACTGATATGAACAAAAGTGAGACAGGAGAAAGATAAGGAAAAAAAACATAATGTTATACAGGTACATTATGTACCACTAATTATCCACTTGAACTTTCAGTAAGATAATCTAAATATGTATCCATTAAGTATGTTCAATCAAAAGAATATGACCTAAAGTATACTGGCTTGTAAAAGACTTTCTTTTAATCTATAAATGGTGAGTAATTTCAACATCGATGTTGCAATTGACAAAATACAGCAAAAGAATGAGGAACCACTAAGTTAAGTTGGAGAAGTTAACTGGTTTCGTACATGCATGTGGGTTTGAAAAAAAGGTTATTAAAGACACTTTTCTCTGTGGTTAAATTGTATACACTATTTTACAAGTGACCTCATGTCACTAACATTGTGTACACACACACACACACTTGAAAGGCTGTCATAAGTGCTGTGATTGTTAGTTAATTCTTCTGCATATTTCAAAAATATTATGAGTATATAAACATGACTGCATATCCATGTACGCTTTATGCCATGTGATTTTGAGAACATCACATGCAAAAACCATCACCAGTACTTTTAAAGCAGTGTTGCATCATACATCTGTCTTGAGTTAGGCCTACTCACTCATAGAATAACAGTAACAAAACTGGTTGCCAAATCAGTAACAATACTTTGGCTTGATGTATGATGCATGTGAGTTTTGCTTTGAATTATGCCATTGTGTAATTTAAGTTAAAAATGATGACAACAACAGTAAACATATAGTTTGTAAATAACACACCCAGTTAAAGAATTTGATATTTTTATTGTCACTCTTGTTGTCATCGTAATGTAATCTAATTAAAGAACTGTTGCCTTCAAATATCATGCATTCTAAGCAAGTTTAATAAGTTTAATATATTATTTTATTCAGTTTTGTACCACAGTGATGCTGATGATAGGGTGTCTGGACAAAGATTATTATACCAAGAGACTGCGTTTTAATGACAACGTTTAAAACTGAACATCCAGTAGATTAGAAATACCACTAAACAATTGAAAACGAAAGTAGACAAGTATTCGAAATTAAAAAGCACTTATTTAACAGTCACTGTAATGACAGTTATAACTCCCAGCCATCATCGACTGTAAAATTGAAATATACCTTTTAAACGTTAAAGTTTAATTCACCTATTCGTATAATGATTTAAGGTCAAGCCCAAACCTTTAATCTCAATTATTTAAGAAATAGCCTACTTACGAACAAGCCGAGTACATGTTTTTTTTTTTTTTTTTTTGATTAAACATGTATTCAGAAATAGCCGAGTATATGTCCAAACGTCCGCTCATTCTACTTTCGCGTCAGCGATTTCGCTCCTGTCAGTCAATGATCACGTGGTCACAAAGGGGCGGGTCAGCGCTAAACTCACGTGCTTCAGGATTTTGGTCTTTTCTTTCTTTCTTTCATGACAGCGTTTCCAATAAAATGTTTACAAAAACGGATGCATGCGGCATTTCAGTCATAATTTAATTTATTTCAAAATATTACTGTAACATTTTATGTGATTTGTACAAAAAGGAATATAGCCTATACTTGTAAAATATAATAGATTACATTCATTTGAAAAAAGTACACATTCAACAAATATGATACTTGGTGCCCTGTCCCCTGACCTTTAATAAATACTTTTCTACTAATTTAATTTAATTTATTTTAATAAAATTAATAGCATGTGTTATTTTAAGACATGGAAATGGGCTAGCCTTGATCATTAACTACAAACCAACATTTAACACCAAACTGAGAGGCTAATTTTGCAGTCCATATGATATAGGCCTATTTACAATCCCCTTTTTTTTTTGTCCCATTTATTGATTTTTGTTTAAATCTTTATTTTTAATAGATTAATTTTGATGCCAATCGCAAAGTTACACAAATCCGGGGTTAAAAGTGTTTTTAGACCAAAATAATAACATAGCTCATAAAAATTTCGTTTGATGGCCTATGAATTATTTCAACAGTGAATTCAATAGAATGGACATTTAATTGGATTTGAATAGGCTACTTCCCTGAATATACTTGCACTCTAGTCTTTCAGACGCCTACCTGGGGTGAACCTGATGATGTTGGACTCCAATCAGAGCTGGAGTCCATCCAAAGCCAAACACTACGGAGCTCCTCCAAGAGGATGTGCGTATGCAGTCCTGAGAGTTTGATCAGAGTGCACGAACAACACGATAGTGAAGACCATGAAGCCGAAGTCGCTCTGTGTCCCGCGGCTTGACCTCTTTGAGGGCAGATACAGGCGGCAGTTCGACACCGGCGCACCGGAGCACAGCCTCGATCAACCGGTAGAGAAGAGACCCAGAGATCTGCGCTATACTTTACTGCCAGAGAGACCACCATACGAGCCTTTAGTGGAAGACGACAGCCAACACAAACTAAAGGAGGAAAAGAAAGCAAAAAAGAAAGAAAGGTATAAAAAATACAGAAAGGTAAGATGAATATTACACATGTAGTGTAAAAAGCTTCACTAGTGCTGTTTTTGTTTTCTTGTAACTAATACACTAGCTTTCAAAAGTTTGGGGTCGGTAAGATTTTTTTCATGTATTTGAAACAAGTCTCTTATGCTCACCAAGGCTGCATTTATTTTATACAGTAAAAACCAGTAATATTTTGAAATATTATTACAATTAAAAATAACTGTTTTCTATTTGAATTTAAAAATGTGGTTTATTCCTGTGATGGCAAAGCTGAATTTTTTAGCATGATTACTCCAGTCTTCAGTGTCACATGATACTTCAGAAATCATTCTAATACATTGGAGCTCAACAAACAGTTCTTAATATTTTAAGAAAAACAAAAACAGTTGTTCTTAATATTTTTGTAACTGATACATTTTGTTTTAGGATTCTTTGATCAATGTAAAGAACTACATTTATTTTATTTGATCAATTTAATGAGTGCTTGATGAAAAAAAGTATAATTTTTTTAAATAAAAAAATATATAATAATATATGACCCTGAAATTTTGAACAGTAATGTAGCTATTTTTGTGTCTGCTCCAAAATAAAATACACTATCAGAAAAAAGGTACAAAAGCTGTCACTGAGCGGTATTTAAAAGGTCCACCTTTTAGGTATAGGCTGCTAATATGTACATTTTATGTACTAATAATATATGCATTTAAAGTACCAATATGGACCCTTTAGGTATGTGTATACCTTTTGTAAAGGTACCACCCCAGCGACAACTTTTGTACCTTTTTTTATGAGAGTGTATGGTAAAGGTCTACCTAAACTAACATTTAGAGTAACTAGTATGTATTCTTATGTTACTGGTACTATAAATAAAATACAAGAATGTTATCTAGCAGTGACTTTTTCAATTTCACTAGTAACGTGTCATATTTATTCACTGTTGTCACTATACAGACAAGCCTACTTGTTCGTTACTAGTACATATTATTTGCTAGTAGTTTTGTCAGGAAATGCAAGATGGATTCAAATGCGAGGTTAGATGGTAATTTATTAAACGTGAACAAAACAAGCAAAGTCACAGAAAACAGATAGTCGTGGGTGCAGTGATGACAGGCCTCCTCGGTAACGCTAGGCTGCAGTGAGCAAAGACGCATAAATCTCCAACCACGAGACGAGTGGAAACCAGTCCAATAATCCAGAAACTACAGCCAGTAAAGAAAACAGATAGTCATGGGTGCAGTGATGACAGGCCTCCTCGGTAATGCTAGGCTGCAGTGAGCAAAGCCGCATAAATCTCCAACCACGAGACAACGAGTGGAAACCAGTCCAATAATCCAGAAACTACAGCCAGTAAATCCACCAGAGAGCAGGAATCAGGAACCGAGCAAAACATGAGGCACTGCAACAAGAACAGACATGAGACAACGATCTGACAAAGACAAGACCATACGCTGAGACTAATATAGGGCAGCTGACGAGCCACAGCTGAACCTAATAATCAATCAACAGTAGTACACCGAACGACCAGAAGGGGCCGATGCATCTATGAACCATGACAAGTTTACGTTCCAGCAGTAACAAATAACTGTTCCAGTGGTATTGGTAAATTTGTATTTTTTTGTGGCTCAGATATCAACTATTCACTTCTGATTCATTTTATTTCCAGTTGTTGATGTTGATTTTCATTTGCACAAATTTGAGGGTACTTTAGTGAGGAAATAGAATAATTCTTCAAATTTGTCAAAATGATGTGTTCCTGATTTAAAATGTCACAAACTCTACCATTGAGTTCAGAATGGTAGTGCCCTGGTCATGAGTGAAAGGGTGACAGTAGGTGCGTTCGACTAGAAGCACGGCTACAGACGGCAGGCGATCGGTTTGCGCAGTGCTGCATGAAGTCGAACGCACCTATTATAACAAATAAAAAAAAACTGTCATGTGTTATTCAGTTATTCAGATGCTTTCAAAAACAAAATGTTTTTTTGCAATAACCAGGAAATTTTGATTATGAAATCATGCACAGTCCCCACTTCAGTTTATCCTTTGTATATAATAACCATATAAATGGTTATTTTCAGAACAAGCACATGACTTTTTCAGTGAATTTGCTGACCCAGTGTTAGACTGGGTCATAGATCAACGGGTAACCTGTGTGGCGTCTTAGACTGTTTCCTTATCAGACTTAGCTGATTAAAACTGATGAGACTGAGAGTAAATGGAGTATCTTTAGCAAACAATCCACTTAATATCTATAGCATCATTGTTATTTTCTCCAAAACATTTACAAGTAACTTGGATCAAGTTTGGTGCTAATGGCCAGCATTCTCAATAATATAAAATAAAATAAAGGGCTCAACAATAAGGAATTTATGTTGCTGGCCCAGTTGGACCATCCAGTATTTTAGATTTGTTCCTCCATTTTCACTGGCCACAACCATAAATAGAACAGATTTTCCTTTTTTAACTACAAAATTATGTATGAGACTCAAAATAATTTAAACCATTACAGAAAACCAGCTTTTTATGTTTGCAAAGCATAAAACACTTGTAATGAATGTAGATTCAGTGAATTTAGTGCATGTGTTTTTGGCCATATGCAGACCTTTCTAGTGGACCTAAAATACAACAAGGGCTACGTAGTCAGAGAGTTATTTGTGTTATTTTGGGAGGGAGAGGGTCATTCAAATCGCATGGATTGTTCCATTGTCATGCAGAAGAAACGTCCTCCCTCAGGATGAAGCAGTGCATCCTGTTTCAGACCTGCTGTCACACAGAGAGAGAGTCACTAACGTAAAGCCACTAAACTACAAGCTGTTTACAGGTTAAAATGATAAAGTTAATCCAGCTAAATTGTCTACTTGGAAATCCTTTAAGTATTTAAACCACTTTAAGTTTTTGTGGATCTCCTGGATCTGTGAATGAAGCTGTGTTGCCTCACCCCCAAAATAGCTATTTTCAAAGGAACTGTTTTGCGTTTTAATCCAATTGTTCAGATGATTTTGATTTGCTGCTCAGATTTACCAAATGCCAAAGCACGATGGAAAAACAAATGTCCTCTAACAGCCAAATAATTGTATTTAATTTTTTAACAATAATTAATTACACTTTTTAAATTATTTATCTAAAAACAAAACATACAATTGCAAATAAAAAAAAGAGACAATTAAATAAACAAAGTAAAATTGGAAATGAAAAAAAAAAACACCAAACGAACAGGGGAAATACAAACCAACAAGACATTTTTCCCTCCCCAAACCCCCAGAACACAACACAACAGTGCTATCCAATAGTAAGAGTGGAGAGTATAGGAATAAAACTAAATAAAAGGGGATCAGATCTTTTCATATAACAAACGTTGCAACAGATTTAGAGAAATCTCATTACATCACTTGCTCACCAATGGATCCTCTGCAGTGAATTGGTGCCGTCAGAATGAGACTTCAAACAGCTGCTGAAAACATTACGATAATCCACAACTAATCCACACCACTCCAGTCCAACAATTAACAGCTGTGTGTTTGTAAGAAACAAATCCATCATTAAGTGTTTTAACTTCAAACCGTTGCTTCTGGCTAAAATAGAGAGTTCTCAATCCACAATATTGCTTTCTCTAGTGAACAAGTCATCTTATATGAACCAGGAGAGAAATATGCACGGATCAAGGATAAACAAGAGTTCTAAACAAATATGTTTGTGGATTTTGATCTGAGAGAACAAAAAGGAATGGACTTTTTCACTGGCGGAAGTGACAGTTTTAGTCCAGAAATGATGGTTTAAAGTTAAAATGCTTAAATGATGGATTTCATTCATCCTCATTCTGATGGCACCCATTCATTGCAGAGGATTCATTGGTGAGCAAGTGATGTGATGCTAAATTTCTCAAAATCTGTTCCGATGAAGAAAGAAACACGTCTACATCTTGGATGGTCTGAGGATGAGTATATTTTCAGCAAATCAATAGAGACAATATATTGGTTGGCTAAATTATATATTTGCTTTGTGTGTGTACATTTTTCAACATTCTGTTTGTCTTACAGAACGTAGGAAAGGCTCTTCGCTACAGTTGGAAATGTCTGATGTTGGGTCTGCAGAACTTCACTGTGGGATATTCCACCCCTCTTTCCGCTGCTGCCTCAGTTGTCCCAGATTTCCATCCGGGAGGAGCGTGGGGTTGAGACAGTCTGTGACCAGCATTTGTAATTTACTGTAACACAAAATCTTTATGGATCATTTAATGCTGCACATCAAGATGATTATGAAAAATGAACAATACATCTGCCCTGGGCAGCTCGACCTGTCATGCTGTAAACTGTTAAACTGATGTAAATATCTGCTCTTCAGATTTGTATTAAAGTGGAGTTTCTAACTTGCATTTGAGTTTTACAGCTGCAAGAAAGACATGTTTCTCTTTTTACTCTGAGATCTATCTGTATATGTTTTGCTTTGACTGAAAGAGAATGTATATTAATTTCTGTATTGAAGTAATGAAATATTATTGTATTACAGAACTATAGGCTACTGACATGATTGATTCTGTAATTATTTTGTACAAAGTCTGGAATGTTTCTCTGTCATTGTTCCAGCAGCAAATTGCAAGTGATGGTCACCTGCATTCATGCTCTGTAGATGTAATGTTGACAAAGGTGAAAGTGATTTATACTCTTAACTGGAAGAGATAGGTATGTTTATGGTCTGTAAAGGGAATTAAATGCCCTCTGAAATGACTGTTTGATTTGATTTAGTCCATTTCATGGACAAAAAAGAAGATTTGCTTGACATGAGAAAGCTGAATGTTCTAGAGAGGGAAGTAAGAGTAAGTGTTTTCAATGGAGGCCAAGAGCCTTAAAGACAAAGGATGGGATTATGAGAAACCACAACAGGAAAAGACAGTCTGGCACAGGGCATGACTTGTTTAATAGGGTTAGTGAAGCTGAGTACATGTCATGCTTGCAACACCTGTTCAAAAGGAATTAAGAAATGTGATTAAAAAAAAAACTCTGGGTGGAACTGTTTTTGTCAATTTATTTATTAAATTAAAAGTTATATTTTTATGCATATTCACCAAACATAGTTATTAAGATGCAATGTACAGTACATCAGTATAGACTGTAAAAATATATCACATCAAAAACATGTTAACATATATGACATATATTGACCCAATGGTTTAAAAAATGAGAACAAATGCAGTATTTTATACGATCCTTTTTGACTTTGCTGTTGATACTTACAGACGTGTGACGTAGACGAAAGATGCGCTGGTCCCTCCAGTGCAGCAGGTGACGCTGTTCAGCACTCAAGTCTCGTTAGTAACGTCACTCCGACCATCGAAGAAACGCGAGAAGACATCATGGCGGGATTAATGAAATCCGAAAGTGGCTTTAGAATCGAAACTGTCAGATTGAAAGTTATCTTGACTACTGTGTTGTTTTCATATCATTTATCTCAAACGTCAGGTAAGCAATGGTTATGGTTTAATATATTAGGTTTTTATATATATATTGCTTTTAAATGATTTAGGACAATTAATAAGAACGCTAAGTGTTGTTAGCGTACTGTGTGTAGTTGATGTAAAACTGATCTTTTGAAAATAACGATATGTAATAAAATCAATATTTTATGTTTCAGCCAGGTGTTTTGTAGTAGAACCATCACTTCACAGGAGATTGTTGATTGGAAAACATACATATTTTATACATTATAAATAAAAAATGTTTGTTTATTTCCCCCATAATGGCATATTTTAAATTATGGACACACACACACACACACACACATATATATATATATATATATATATATATATAGTGATTCACACATTTTCATCTTCATGCAGGTGCCACCCGTCCCATTATAGAAGTTAAAGATGGACAAGAAATCAAAGTACAAGCCTCACAACATTTTTGCTACAATAACTCCATCGTACCAGGATGGAGGGAAACATGGACTAGAATACAGGTAAAAGGCTTTTAACTATGAATCCTGTCAATGAGCTCAGTAATTTTTGCATCAATATTAACAGCGCCTTCCCCTTATTTGATTGACAGGTGAGAGTGTGGAGCACTACAAAGCTGAAGGTGACGGTGGTTAATGATGAGCAGGACCTGCAGGAGCTTGAGCATTTCAGCATCTGGAAACTCGTGCAGTACTTCGTTCATGAACAGACCAATGAGACCTTTGTGAGCGTCAGTCTCTTTAACAACAAGACCTGTTTCAGAGTGGACCCTTCAAATTCCCGTACACTCTATACAGTACAACCTAGTCGACGTGAGTTGAAAACATGTTTAAAAGAAAAAGTAAAAAAATCCAAATAGAAGGGAAAACCCATTCCAGCCATACTGAAAAGTCTTACATACTTTGATATGATCAGGACTGTGATATTGATTTGAAGATTGACATTGTTTTTCCTCCTAGATTTTGACATCTACCTGTTTTTGGTTTTTCTGGCTGGACTGTTGCTGTTTTCTTTTGCAGACATTCTAAGCAGGTAATTGACATTCATGTACTTAAAGGGATAGTTCACCTATAAATGAAAATTTACTGAAGATTTGCTTACTCTCTGTGAGTAAAATGATTACAACTGATTATTTTGGGTGAACTATTCCTTTAATCAAAAATTAAAATTAAAATTTGTATTTTAGACCGTTGTGCTCTTCCATTTCCTGGATGGAGGCACAATTTGGGTTCTTAGACAGACATAGTGTGTGTAACTCTGTGCTCATACCTGCTTTTTCTGTTTTGTAGAAGTCAAGTGTTCTACTACTCTGCTGGCATGAGCACTGGAATGATCGCCTCCCTCATCATCCTCATCTTCGTCATCAGCCGTTTTTTACCCAAGGTAGATTCCTCGCATTCTTTAATGTGTTTTAAACATCCTTCTCTCTACCATTGAGCACCTCAAGGGTTTTGTTCGGCTTTGTGTAGCAGTTAATTGTGAGATCTTATTAAATGGTCTTATTTTCAACATGTTTGTTTCCTTGGCCTGTAGAAAAGCCCATTCTATGTGCTGCTGATGGGTGGATGGTCTTTTTCTCTCTACATCATCCAGCTGGTGTTTAGGAATCTCCAAATCATTCTTAAAGATCACTGGCATCTGGCTATCAGTAAGAGAACCATCAAAACATTGTGATGTAATTCAACCCTGGGTAAGGTAAAAAGGTTTTAAGAAGAAATTTTGATTTAGCCTTTTTTTTTTTTTTTTTTAAATACAAACAAAAGTACTTTTTTTTTTTTATTGTGCATAAAAGCCAACATAAAACACATTTATTTTTTGCAATATGACATTTTTTATATTATTTAAATAATATGAAAATAAACTTTTTACATAGTTATTACATAGCATAAATACCAATATAAAACTAATTTAATTTCTGTAATACAACATTTCTGTGTGAAACAGTATTCAATGAGACATAATGGCTGTGGATGAAACTTTTTAACTGGATTGTTAAAATTGGGCTAAAGTATATTTTATTATTTTATAATACCGTAAGTATTCACTTTATTTATTGTTTTTTATTTATTGAAATATTATGAAAAACAATTTGTACAGTATGATTTGATTTCATGTTCTCTTTTAAAAAACATTTTCTTGATTAATATTTATGCAGTCTTTAAAGTATATTAGTGGATGACTGTTCTTAGTTTTATATATGTTTAGGTTATGCCATTGTGGTCGGGTTCATCAGTTTTGCAGTGTGTTACCGCTATGGCCCCCTGGTGGATGAGAGAAGTATCAACATCCTGTCCTGGACGCTGCAGATATTCGGCCTTCTGCTGGTGTACGCTGGAATTCAGGTCCAGCAAGTGGCTCTGGCCATCATGATAGCTGCATTCTGCTCCAAGAACCTGGAGTACCCTTTTACCAAGGTCTTCATGCTTTATCAGTGAGTATATAACTATAATAAATGCTGTTCAAGTGCATGTTGAACAATGTAGTCATTGTCTTTTTGCTGAATGATTGCGCTGAAGGAAGCTGAAGCCAAAGAAACTTGAGCCACGGCGTCTGCTGACAGAAGAGGAGTATCAGAGACAGTCGGAAGTGGAGACTCAGAAAGCTCTGGAGGAGCTTAGGAAATACTGCAGCAGTCCTGAGCTCAACACCTGGAAGACCGTCTCCAGGCTCCAGTCCCCTAAGAGGTATGAGAGGATATTTTAAAAACAAATGAAGTGTTAATAAAAGAATGTTCCTTCATGAAAAATGTTTTTCCTGACTATTATTTCATATGTCAGTATTTTAAAATATTGCAGATTTTATTGAATGATCAATGCTTCAGAATGTTGAAGAATCATGCTCAATAAGATGAATACGGATACAAAAACAAATATACAGAAAGACTGTAAAGGGTCAATTTTTATTTCATGTTGTGTAAAACAGTACTCTGTCTTGCACTCAGGTTTGCAGACTTCATTGAGGGTTCTCCACATCTGCTGTCCAATGAGGTGTCAGTTCACACACAAGAGTATGGGCTGGGTGGATCGTTCTTTGAGGATGAGCTGTTCTCCACTGATGAGGAAAATCAGGAAGAGGAGGAGGACGGGTGGGAGACGGATGATGATGTGAAGCCAGATGTGGCATCTCTTCGACTTAACAACACACGGGGGAAATGACCGATGAACCGCATTGGAAAGTATTTAAATTTTTAAGCAGATCTGAGATCTGTTCAAGTGTAGCATTTACTGTTCTTCTGTAGGTATCTGTTGGAGGTTTTTTCACTCATGAATTCAGACTCTGATGCAATCGTAATGGACTATTAATGGTGAAAATGCCCTGTTGTTTTCATGGTTCGTGAGAAAGGAAAACAGTTGTTTGATTTATTTTTCGTAAAAAAAATTTTTATTTTATTCATATTTTATTTGTCTTTGAGTTTGAATTTGTGCAGAGACTTCCTGTGTGAGAAGGGACGTTTGATTTATTTTTCTTAAAAAAATTTTTTATTTTATTTGTCTTTGAGTTTGAATTTGTGCAGAGACTTCCTGTGTGAGAAGGGAACTGTGAATGCTGTGTTGTTACATGGACTGTATTTTATGTGTTTTGTTTTTACGTTTATACTACTAAAGCAGTTGATCAGAAGAGGCACATGTTATACAGCTTTTTGTGGCTGTTGACTGGAGCTGTACGTCTGTTTATGGTCAAAGGATTTTTTTCATGAATGAGTAATAAAATCAGAGTAATACAATACAGTGTGTCTTAATGTATTAACATTAGTTTGTAAGCTTAAAATGGTCAAATCTCTCCAAATTCAGTGTTAAATACATCTTTGTAGCGACCACTTGGTGGCAGCATAAACCAATAGGGGCTTTACATGTCAACATAGAGCTGTTCATCAAGACTTTAAGGTTGATAGTGGGTATTTCCATTCACTTTTTTTTTTTTTTTTTTTTTTTTTTTTTTTTTTTAAAATTTTTTTTTTTTTTTTTTTTTTTTTTTTTTTTTTTTTTTTTTTTTTTTTTTTTTTTTTTTTTTTTTTTTTTTTTTTTTTTTTTAGAAAGAGGAGATTTTGCATTGGGATAGTTGTCCTTGTTAGATAATGTGCCAAAATACATCAGGAGCTTCTAGTACTGCTTTATTTGCAACCTTTCTCTAAGGACAAAAAACTTTTAATACTTATACATTACTTATTATTTTTATCATCTATAGATGTGGCCCACAATATTTTCATCTTTCCTTTTCTCCAAAAATATAACAATTCATGGAGCATTGTTGAAATGAACATGTTTTTGTGTCCACACGTATTTCCTTTGCTTTGCAAATGAAAACCTCAATAGTAAAGCTGAATGTATAAGACGCAAAATCATTGGAATATTTTTCTCCCATATTTAGGGGTTTCGTAAACCGTCTATTGCACGTGTTTCCTCTGCAATAAGAAACAAGATCATCTCTTTAAAATAAGGTTCCCCTAAAATCATTTTCACTTTTCTTCTGTCTTGTTTTTATTATTGCTGACTCACTTCTACATTCCCTCTTCACCTCTCCAGTAAACGAACCTGTAAAAATA